TACATGGTGTGGGTCACCTATCAGATACGGGATGAGAAGAACGGCATTAATCCAATAGTTTAGAAACAATAATCCGTACTCCTGGGAACTCTGTTGTTCCTTCGCCTTTTGGCTCTACACTCCTGTATCATCACTAGAAACTACTGTTAAACCACGTCTGGGTAGGTCAACAGCCTTGTTTGAGACCTGGCTTTCTTTTCTTTATCACGAGGACAGAGCTACTGTCTTGGCAACATATTGAAGTGGCCTTCCCCATTACACTCTATTGCAGATTTCCAGTTTACTACTACGGCAGGCAGGTAACTCAGTTGCCTACTCTGATAATTGCACCTTCATAAACATTGTGACTGTTGCTACGCTTCACAAGTCACTAACTTCTGTGACTTAATTACGTTATCTCCAGCGTCCCATTACACTTAGGCTGGTTCATTTAATTTTTGTCCAATGAATTTATTTGCTTCAGTTAGGACTATTTCATGGTTTTTATATTTTGAGTTCTTTATATTCAATAAAAGTTGATTTATTTTGTAATAATTTTGTTAGTTTTCTTTGCATGACGAAGAGTCCCTTCAAAAGTTCTTTGAGGGTTTGAAGGGCCGTTACATTCACAATTAGCAATAACTCGTTTTGAGACGAGTAATTAACAAGCGAAACTAAATTAATCTAATCCAACTAAATAACTTATTAAAGTTTATAATTTAATAATAAACATACTTTTCCATTACGTTCAGAATGATTTTGACGAAATTATTGCGTACATATTTGCGCTTGCCCTATTCAGCAAAAACTGCGTTGCTATTTAAGCGAAAAACGCAGGTTTACCCTATTGAACGTATACATACATTAATGTGTGTACGCATGCAAAACACCCACTGAAAATAGAAAAATTCCAAGCACTTTCTTGGTTTATCAAATACCATTAAAAATAATACTACAGCAAAAAACTTAAAACGATGAGAATTTACCCTCCCCACATCCACACGCAGAAGGTGGACACGCAGGATATTCCAGACATGGAACACGGCGAGAAAGGGAATTACAATCAGAAATTGAAGACGTCAGAGACAAAGGGATGTTTGAAAGTATTTTGTCAGCCATAGTTGTCAGGATGTAAAATAGTCTGGAGTGACATGGTGAAGGCAGGAAGAGTGGACCTGTAGGTGACCAGTGACAAGGAGGGACACAAGCTATGACTCTGACCCCCCCAGTCCTGCAACCACAATTAAACTCGCTCTCCCTCCTTCCCCTAAGTTGGTAACTGCAGTGATGTACAACCCCTCTTCAAGGGGGGGGGGCGGCACTCTTTGACATGGCGAAGAGGCTCTTGGTAGAAGGAATTAACCATTTTTTGTCTCAGACCGAACCTAATTACCTTCGCCAATCCTCCCCATCCCATTACCCTCTTATTTTTCACTTTCCTTCCCCTCTGAACCTTCCCTTTTACCTGTCCCCCATGACTCGCGAAATCGTAATGACACGATTGCAAACAAACTATACCACGGGTGGGGTTAGAACCCGTGATCAGAGAGTCACAACTCTAGACCGACGCGTTAGCCACTGGGCCAGCTGGCTCCAATAAGATTCGCCCAACTAACCTTCCTATGGTGTAGACATATACCTAATTGGATGAATCTTATTGTAGCCAGCTGGCCCAGTGGCTAAAGCGTCGGTCTGGAGTTGTGACTCTCTGATCGCGGGTTCTAACGCCACCCATGGTATGGTTTCCCCGTCCCATTTGTAGCCTCTGGTGTCCTCCCCTCTGGCATTACGGCTTCTAGGTAGGGGTAAGTGTTTAAAGGTTCATCCCGCTCCATAAGGTTCCTCGGGTGTGGTGTAAATTGCTGTGGAATTTGCATTATCTAGAAGAACTATGGTCCCTTCTCGGATTTCAGAGGTAGGCAGGGTGTCCTGCAGGTGACGGGTGTATCTCCGGAGGCTGCCTGTCGGTTCTGGGAGGTGACTGCCGGAGGAGGTATGCTTCGTGGTGAGGTTCCGACCGCTCTCTTGTTCCCTGAGGTGGCTCGGTAGATAGGAGGTTGCTATCCCGGAGCGCTGCTTTACTGGCGTGAAGGGTAGGGTATGGCACGGGCCCAACACTGCACAGCTCGCAAGGGAACTTTTGATCTTTTCACGCCTTCTAGTGATTGTCCCTTCGCTGTCCCTTTAATTTTTTTCTTAAAATAAATACCATCATGGAGTCTGTTCCGTGATAACCCTCCTCCTCCCAGGCCCCTTTGTTACCGCATCCTGTTCTGACCCGGCTTCGTTATTGGACCATTCTCCAGACTTTTGCCCTACTCTGTACCTTCTGCTGGTGATTCTTCGTCATCTGCTCCAGGTGCTGAGGCTCCGCTCATTTCTTCTAGTGCCTCTTGAATGCCTTAACTGCGTCTGGCTTCCCTGAATATGGTGTAACTGGTTTTCGGATCGCCCACCTACTTCGGGTTGTGTCGCCCGCGGAAATACGCCTAAAAGTACCAGATCATTTGCCGACAACAGTTCTTTGTGCTCAATCTACCCAGAAACGACCTATGCGACACACTTCCTTCACATGCCATGTTTACAAGTACAGAGTGACCTAAATTTTTCCCTACAACAGACCTCTTCAATTATCTTTCAGACCATAGTATTGGTAAAGCCCTTTTATGACACGTTGGCCAAAATATATTCTTTCACGCTCTTCAAGTTCAGGATGCAGAAAAAGCTAGTCTTTCCCGTTTTATTTCCATTCATAACATTCCAGTCAGTTCACAAGCACTCTGCTCAATTCTTGCAGTGGTACCATGGTATTATAGAGTACCATTGTAGAGTGAATTTGTGTTAGTGATATAAGTCACTATGCTTGTAAGGTCTCTGAGGGAGACCTAATTAACCAGTAAATTGTCACACCCCTTGCTTTGGTAAATAGGTGTAAAGACACGCTTTGCGGGTTAAGTCTCTGGTCTTTACTTCTTGACTGGCGTCAGGTCTTAACGTGTACACCTCATGAAGGGGGGGGGGGTTCTTTAAGGAGCATACAAGCTCAACGAAACGGCTAGAGAGCGCTTCTGGTGGAGCTCTGGCCTCTGTGCAGAGCTCTTGGCACGAGATAACAGAGCTGCTGCCTGTGGGCAGTATGGTCTGTTCCCAACTATATTATTGTACAGGGACTTAATTAACTTTAAGTAGAATAGTAATATTCACTGTCCCGTTATTTAAAGTATTGAGAGGACGAGTAGTTTGGTAGTTGAGGTGCTAGTGTAGTAAAGTGACTTCACATAATCACTGCTGGTCACTCGATTCACTTCCCCTGCCTACTTCTCTTTACTCCCTAATTCCCCAATTATCTGTTCGTTCCTTACCCCTCTATATGACTGCTGCAACAGTCATATAGGGGGGGTAAGGAACGAACAGATAATTGGAGAGTAAAGGCGGGGGAGTAGGCAGGAGAGGTAGCAGGTAGCTAGGTATGACAGGTTAGTGGTTACCACCACGACCCTCTCATTAACTCTACACTACTCACTACCGTATAACTCGCCCACTCTTCACTCACTCCACCTTATATAAAGAAAATAAAGTATAAAAACTAGAAATAAATAACAGATGGTAAATATTACTATTCTACTCGGTTTATGAAGTCCTTGAACAATAATATATTTGGAAACAGGAGAACACTATTAAGCTTACATAAATGGGGGTTGTATATATAAGCAGTGAGACAAAAAATACAATTAACTGACCAACGAGAATGTAACTTTCAATATAATTTAGAGGACAGTTCACCACAGGAACTCGGTCACACCCTAGCCACAGGGCCCAATTCCTACACAGCATGAGCACCGCTCCAAGCCAGTACCCTGCCCAGTGTCTCCAACGATCTTCCCTGGAGACTCCAGTAGCGTTTTCCAAGAGCTCTGCCCACAAGCAGCAGCTCTGCCAGAATCTCGTGCCCAGAGCCCTACACACAGGCCAGAGCTCTGCCAGAATGTATCTAGCCGTTTCCTTGAACATATATGGTCCTTAAAGAACCCCCTCCCCCTCTTCCATAAGGTTCATATCACGGGTCATCGCATAGAGGTCCATAAAGTGGTCCCTACTCCCCAAAAGTGTCGAAATTGCTGGCGCTTCAGACACCCCACTAAATTCTGCACATCTGTGGTGGACTGCCCGGTCTGCAGTGCCGCAGATCACGCCGATACATCTTGCAGTTTTCCCTCACTTGTCTCAATTGCAATGACCCTCATCATCCTTTTTCCCGACGATGTCAGGTCTATCTTAATGAGAAATCCGTTGTCTTAAGGAGAGCAAAGGCCTTACTTATCCTATGGCTGTTTCTCGGCTCCGCCTTCAGGGAAATCTTCCTCACATCCCTTATTCTTTAGCTAGGAGACCTCCAGCCTTGGCGATTTCCCCCGTCTACCAGCTCCTCCGGTGTCGTGTCTTCTGGGGTCATCCCCATATTTCTTTTGCAGTTTTACCCTCTGAAACCCCCACCTCCTTACCTATTCCTACCTCTACTTCTCGCCCGCTAGTTTCTCAGTCTGCGAAGCCTCTCACGCATGCATCTTCTGTGTGCCTATCACCTGCGAAGTTGAACCTGTCTCATAAGCCAGAGTCTCTTTTTGTATTCCTCTGGCGCTGACAATTTCCCAACAGTTTTAATTTTCGGCCTCGGTGTCTAGTTCTCACCCTCTTGCTAACATAGGAAGGTGGAGGTTCACCTCCCTTGTGTGGTCCCCTCTTCTCCTGTTTCCCCCCAGACTTCTTCCCAGTTATTTTCCAGCCTCCCTCCTCTCCTGTGCCACCGCAGGACTCTTCTGCCCCCACCGGCACATCTCCAGGTTCATAATCCCCTCCCCTCTCAGACCTCTTTGGTTCCCTCCACAGTCTCTACGATCTCTACTTGCTTTACCTCACCTGTCTCTGAAGTCATGTTATCGGGATCTTCCTTATCTGCTGAGACACTTGACGCTATCTCCGACTATATTGCAGACTAATGGACACTGGCGCACCTCCTACCCTTTCTTATTTTTCACGACCCATGCAGGAATTTTTTCTTTCACAGCATTCTGATTCGTCCTTTCACGCTTACCGTGGCATCCACACATTGACTTCACTGGCCCTACTAGCCCATAGGCTTTACCGCTTCTTATTGTTGGCATACCTGTCTTTGTGAATAATA